TTTGAGGATGTCAAATATGTCTCCTTTTTGTCACTGGCATTATTACTCAAAATGATACTCTGGATCTGCAGCTTACCTCAATTTTTCCTTATTGTCCTCTGAACACTCAAAGCTTTCTGGTACTTTAACCAGGAAATCACACTGGACTTGCACAGATATCACTCTACTCATAGAAAACCCATGATGATCAAAACTCTTCCTCTAAACTGGGAGGAACTTGAAGGTTTCAATGGGGTACACAAATTTGTCACTCAGTTTAAATACCAGCAAAACAATATGCTGTTTCAAAAGGAAATATCAAATTATTTCAACTGGTATTAAATAGAAATAAATATGACAAATACCCATGGCCTAAGTCTCTCATGCCACATACCCATGTCCATATTCATAATCAAACGTCACATGCTCTAAAAGTTTTGACCATGGCCATAACAAAGATGAACCATGTGTATACTTTTATCTTTATATGGGGGACCATTTGTTAGTTCCAGGAATACAAGACTTTTAGTATTGCTGTTCATTGTTTAAATTCACAGTGAGCAGATCCTCAGGGTTTATAAATCATTGAGGGGAAAAATGGTCAGTGATGACACCTTCACTGAGGACCCTGCTCTTCATAAGAATATACGATCCACCCCAGTTCCCTATTATCTCACCTGTCATTGCTTCCTTTCCTTCAACACCTTTATTGTCTACTTAGAAACCAAAGCTTTCTCATTTAACCATGTCTTTTTTCATGAAAACAAGCACTAGGAATGTAAGAACATCTTTCATGCATGTATATCCACAGCCTAGAGTAACTTGAATATCTGTGCCAGAGTGAATATGTTTTCAGTCTAAACTTCTTGGCATATGTGGGATATTGAAAAATTAACATCAGGATCTTATTCTCTCAGCAAGAAAGTCTGTGTTGGAAGAGGGATCCCGATATTTCTTGCTAGGTTTGTGTTCTCTGACAATATTCCTAAATTTATAAACCTCAGTTTATAAAGCTTATAAAGGACATAACAGGGCTCATACACCTTGCTAAGAAGTACATGATTAGAAATATATATATATAAAAATATATATTTTATATATACATATAATAATATATATACAAATATATATAAATATACATATGTGTGTGTGTGTGTGTGTGTGTGTATATATCTATATATGTATGTATGTATGTATATGTATATATATATTTTTTAACTGAGGTACTTTCTGGAAAAGCATCCAATACACTATAGAAATTATTTCAGTATTTATAACAGGAAAAAGGCAAAAGCTGTTCCAGACAACTAGGTGCTGGCCTTGCACTCCCTGCAAGGCCTAGACATAGCCTGTTGAGAAAAAAATGTCATGTGTACATATATATTATATATGTTACATATGTGTGTGTGTGTGTGTGTGTGTGTGTATATATATGTATGTATGTATGTATATGTATGTATGTATATGTATATATATATTTTTTAACTGAGGTACTTTCTGGAAAAGCATCCAATACACTATAGAAATTATTTCAGTATTTAGATAACAGGAAAGGCAAAAGCTGTTCCAGACAACTAGGTGCTGGCCTTGCACTCCCTGCAAGGCCTAGACATAGCCTGTTGAGAAAAAAATGTCACATATGTCTGTCATCAGACAAAGCTACTCCATGACCATAATGGATCAAGAGAAAAGCAAAGGCATTAGTGTCTGTAGAAATGATAAAAGAGAACAGGTTTCCAAAGAATAAAATAACAAAAATTCCCCTTTTCTCACTAATATGATTTGTGCTTCTTATAATTTAGTGAAGAGAAGCTATGGAAACATGGCCAGAGGGCCTTATTGATTTTCTAAAGTCTTATAATTCAAGTCATTTTTTCTTCCTTCTAGATAAAAATGATTAAGATTAACCAAGATAGAATTAAATTCATTTCCTCATAGCATCCAATGCAGAAAAGTGTCTTGCTTCCTTGAAAAGCAATCAAATTATCACAAGCCAAAAGTATAAGAAGTCCTTTTGAGTGCACTGTTCCTGTTGAACCCTACAGTCGTTTATGGTTTGTGGTCATTCTTATTACTAGAATTTGTTACCTTACAACTCTCTTTGACTATAGATCTGATTTTGTTGGTCTTTGGCCAAAAGGGACTGAAAAAAACATGATTGAAGTTTTTAATATTATGAATGAATAAGAAAGAAGTTTTACGCCAAAAGTTATAAGTAAAAAAAAATAAAAAGTAAAATTTACCTGAGGAAAACATACCTGAATTTGTACACACATAATAATAGTGACAGGATGTATATTGATTAAATGGACAGAATTACAAATTGATCTGAAAATCCATAATTACAATGAGATATTTAATTATATCTCTAGGAAATGAAAAACACAATTATTCTTAGCATAAGAGTGCTTAGAAAACAGCTAATATAATTTTTCTTTAAAAAGTACAGAAGCATTTATTAGAGTAAATTGCAAATAATTTTAATCACACCAAAGATAATTGAAATCATCAAGGGATTATGCTCAGCTCTGAGTAACAGGAAACACCCAGAACTGGCCTGATATGAGGAAAGTGCAATTGTCAAATGGACGGACTAGGTTGGAGCTGCCCTATGCAGCAGAGGAACAGACTTCTACATGGTTCTTTAGGATGGCACCACTGTAGCTGTCACAGTGGAATCAGAGAACACAAGGTCACTGGCAGTGCTAACAGAACAAGGCCTTTAGTATACAAATCAGACCTTAGATGAACACAATCCGAGGAAGGGGGAAGTCGTGCTTCATGGAACATTCTCAACCATGATGGCCTCCATTTGTTGCCCTATGGACATACGCGGGCTTGCAGGAGAATCCAAACTGCACTGGATCCTTGATGTTGAATTCTGAACAACTGTAAAGCCCACACCTTGGACCACGCAGTCAAGCAGGCGGTGGTGGTTTTGAGGATATTCTTGACTGGCAGGGCAAAGCCTTAGTAAAACAAACTAGTAGCAAGTATACATGAAGGCTCTATGCTTCTGTCTGTCTCTCCTATACAGGTGGCTCCAAAACCTGCCTAATCCCCTTTCACTTCTTTGTTCCAAGTTTCACGTAAATTATGGTTTGGTGATTTCTAACATGGAACCATAAAGGCAATAGATTGTATAGAAAATGTAGTTCACAACATTACTCACATTGATATAACAGTCAAGAAGGGTCATCTCTGACTCTAGATTGGATTGTCCTATCACAGCTATTCTCTTCTTAATGCAAACTTCATAGTCCAAATCCCAGCCAGAAGCAATGACAAAAAGCAAAGGACAATAGATGAAAATAATTCACATGAGACTATATGATGAACTTTGCGTACTTACAAATATATGGCAAATAGTCACTGGCCACATGTCCCAGCCAGGTGAGCCACCTTGCTGCACCTCCGGCAAAGACCTCACCAAAATGTTCTCAAATCGGACATGCCATGGAAACCATAATGTTCACATTTCACAAATTTCCTGAGGATAAAGCCTACTTAGTGAAGGAGGACCTGAGAGTACTCATGAAAAAGGAGTTCCCTGGACTTTAGAAAATCAAGGAGGCCCTCTGGCCATGTTTCCACAGCTTCTCTTCACTAACTGCTGGGCTCATCATCACATGCAATGACTATTTTGTAGTACCCATGAAGCAGAAGAGAAAGAACCAGGCGGCACTGAGCAATTCCTCTTGCACTGATACGATTTCTCCCAATGGGTTGCTTAAGCAGTCTCTGCCCCATAGCTTCTCTCTGTATAAGGATTTCATGAACATATTGGGACCCTTAAAAAATGTAAATATAGTCTATGGTCATGCCACCTTGAATGTGCCCGATCTCGTCTGATCTCAGAAGCTAAGCAAGGTCAGGCCTGGTTAGTACTTGGATGGGAGACCACTTAGGAATACCAGGTGCTACAGGTGTTTAAAAAAAACGTAAAAATAAAATCCCACCCTTATTTGACAAGAGAAAGAAAAGCCAATTAAAGCCAGCTAAGCTTTTGATTTTTATATTGTTTGCATCTTCTTGTTCTCAATAAACAAAGTTCTTTATATATATAATATATATATACATACACATGCACATATATACATACATACATATACATATATGTATGTATATAATATTTTGCAGTATCCACTAAAGTTGTACATATACTTGATACAGCAAATATATATACATATGTACATGTATATATATGTATATATATGAGTCTATAATATGTGCATGTAAATATATATGTGTGCGTGTGTGTGTGTGTGTGTGTGTATATATACATACATATGGCAAATATTTCTTGACAAGAAACTAGAAGGCTCTTCAGGGCAATGAAAAGGCAGTTTTCTGTGATGAAAGATTAAATATGTATAATGGGTAAGGCATATTCAATACTTGCCACAGAAGGCCAGTAGAAAAAAATGAACAAATACCAAAGTACATTTTTCAATGTTCTTTTCCTCACAGAACAATTACAAAATTACAGAAAAATTAAACCTACTTGCATATTATAGTAAAACACTTCCATTCACCCATGGATCTAACAGACTTCAAAACAGAAACACAAAATGTTTATTAACTGACTAAAAGGGGAAAAATTACTTATTAAACTTAGAAAGTTTTGCTTAAAGAGTACCTACAGAATTATATCACCTGTTTCCTTGCAAAAGTAGAACTCCATACTACAGAGAATCACTTTAAGAATAAGTCAGTGATAATGACCATATATGTATACTTTTGTATCATTTCTTTCATGTTGTGAATTTTGAGGAGTATGTAAATTAAGTTGCACCAGGCTTATATGTATTACTTACATTAATAGATTTGCTTCCAGTGCAGTTTTCAAGCTGCTTTAAAAGTATGTTAAAATTTCTTCATTTAACATTCATTAAGTATGTTAAATGTCTTCATTTCAGTCATATGGTATCTGTCCAGTGTAAATTCTCACATGGTTTTGTAGGGATGTGAGGCAAAATGAAAGTGTTACTATATCACTTACATTCAATAGAATTCTCCCCACTTTGAGTTTTTTCATGGCTTTCCAAGGAAATGAGACAACTGGTCTTTTTCCGTGTTCTTTACATTAATATGGTATATCTCCAGTGTGCAGCCTTACTTGTCCACAAAAGCTCTCCCATATCCCTTATATTCATAAAGTTTCTCTTAGGTGTGATGAGTTCTTTCATGATTTTGTAAAGGACTGGGATGACTGAAGGCTTTTCTACAATTTTTAAATTGATAGGGCTACTCTTCAGGGTGAGTTCTTCCATTCTTCATAATAAACTGGGAGAAATGAATTCTTTCTAACATTCCTTACATTTTTAGGGTCCATCTCCAATCTGGATTATCATGTGTGATCAAACACCTTGAGAGATAAATGAAGGCTTTCCTACATTCCTTACATTAACAGGATTTATCTTCAAAATGACTTCTCTCATGTTTACGACAACTACTTGAGAAACTGAAGGCTTTACCACATTTTATACATTTGTAGGGCTTTTCTCCACTATGTGTTCTTTCATGCATTCGAGAGTACCTGGGACAACTAAAAGCTTTGCCACACTGCTTACATTGATATGGTTTCTCTACACCATGAGTTTTTTTATGAATTCGGAAGTAATTGGAACAACTGAAAGATTTCCCACAGTGCTTACATTCATAGGGTTTCTCCCCAGTATGAGTTCTTTTATGATTTCGAAGGGAAAAGATATAATGGAAAGCTTTACCGCATTCCTTACATTCATGAGGCTTCTTTCTATTGTGAGTTTTTTTATGTTTTCCAAGATATCTGGGAGAACTGAAAGCTTTACCACATTCCTTACATTCATAGGGCTTTTTTCCACTGTGTAGCAATTCATGATTTCGAAAGTTTTTGGGACACCTGAAATCTTTCCCACACACCTTACATTTATAAGGTCCATCTCTAGTGTGCTTGATCATGTGTCTTTGAAATCTGCTGAGAGAACTCAAGGCTTTCCCACATTTCTTACACTCATAGTGTTTCTCTCTAGTGTGAGTTCTTGCATGTCTACGTAAGTGACTTAAACAACTGAACACTTTACCACATTTTGTACATTCATGAGACTTCTTTCCAATATGAATACTTTTATGTTTTCCGAGGGACCAGGAAGAACTGAAAGCTTTGCCACATTCCTCACATTCATAGGATATACCTCCATTATGCTTTCTCTCATGTCTACATAAGTTACTTATATAACGAAAGACTTTACCACATGTTGGACATTCATAGGGCTTTTCTCCACTGTGTTTCCTTTCATGTATTCGAACATATTGGCGATACTTGAAAGCTTTCCCACATTCCTTACATTTATAAAACTTCTCTTCATATTCCTGATACTCGTATTGTTTGGGTCCAGTGTGAGATCTCATGGGGCTATTAAAGGATGAATGATGCATGAAGACTTGTCCACACAACCTGGATTTACGTAGTTTTATTCCAGTAGGAGCTGCTTTCTTCTGATTATGATTTGGAATCTGGCTGGAGGTTTCTCTACACTGACTACCTTCTTTACTTTTACCCAGTCTCTCTATTGTGTGACTGCTGTAAAAATCAGAAGCATAACATTAATGTTTTGTTTATTAATGATTTTATATTAATGTATGATTGACATTTTTACCATTTTTTAAGGCAAGTGTAGGGTTTGTGCACATTCTGGTTGTTCAAAAGTGAGTATACTAAAAACTCTGCAAGAGAGCTAGGTCATAGCTATTATGAAAACAGTAATATTCATGAATAGTGATTCTGTTATACTGTTTCCAAGTATACTATTTTTCATATACTAAACATCTAGGTCACATTTGAGAAAAATATTTTGATGAACATATTCTAGGAATCAATAAATTTGAAGCTGGACCGATGTTTGGTTTGCCTGTTTTTAAAATTCAATGACATATTAAGATTCTCTTGTGGGACATTGCTTTCTCATGTGAGTGTGACTCACCTAAGATTTGTCCCATGATTTTTGTGCTGATCGTCATTGTCATGGTCTTCCCATTTTTCTTCTAAAATACATGCTAGAAAAAAAAAAGCATTATAAATTATAAAAAGTATAGAAAATCATTAGATTTTGGGTCCACGATGAGCTGTGATCAAGCCCGATTTCATTACCAGTGTATTCCCTTTCTACATTTCACTTCTTGCTTGAAACAGCATTGATAAGCAAGCAACACTAGTTTATTGATTGACTAAATAAGTAAGTTAAGAATGTTGTCATCCCTACCTATTGATGCCAGGTTCCTGAAGGTTTCCTGCATCACATCTCTGTAGAGTTTCTTCTGGGTCCGATCCAGGAAAGCCCACTCCTCCAGGGTAAACTTCACATTAACATCGTCTAAGGCCACTGAGTCCTAAAACATCCCACATATGTATACAAGAGGATGGGTGAGACAGATAGCACTGGGGATCCATACTTAATTCATAAGAAGATCACACATGACTCTGAGGTTCTCAATATTTATTCTATGACTTGGTCATCAGACTATTACTTATTGGCCAGTCACTTCCTCATGAATGTAACAACATCATTAACACACGGAATTTATTGCTACATTTTTATTGTGATCAAGTCTTCATTGCTCTTTAATGTCAGGGTACAGAGCACCTTGGAAATGAAAAGAAATATTTCTATATTAAGCACATCAATTCCCTGTGAGAAAACTCTCATCTCCTTTAATACCACCATATGATGCAGCACTCCATGAACCACACCATCATATCTGCATAGAGTTTTAATGAATAAGAACAAAGTGAAGACATGGAAGCTTTTTCTTCTCCTCTCATCACCAAACATGAGGCCAGGAGGTCTATGGAAATTCAGTTTGTAACAACACGTAGCTGACCATATTGTCCTGAAGTACTCCGGGCCATTAGAAGTAGTCAGATCCAGCTGGCTGACTGCAAATACTCTTGTGGAGGAGTAGTAATTATAATTTGTTTATATAATATTTATCACAGACTCAGTTTGATCTTCCTTTTTCTGTCTCATTTCATGGAGCTAGGAAGTTAATCAGAGTTAGAGCTCAGGCATGACAACTTAGATCTCTGCAAAATTCCTATATGCATGACCCTCAGGGTTACTTCATACCAATTTTAGGACATATAGACACATATACTAAAATGATAAAATCACAAAAAAAGTCTTTCTGGAAGAATTGTAACATTGTGACCTGGGTCTCGATGACTCTGAGGAATAGCTTAAGATTAGCATTTGTGAGGGCCTTCATTGAAATTCACAGTATTTTCATGTTGAATTTGCAAATGATTACAAAATATATAGAGTTCAACAGTGCTTTCCTCTGAAAACTAAAATGTCCTCTTTTTCAAATTTTGGCAGCAAGTGATGCTACTCTAGTTAGTGGCTCTCCTCCCAACTTCTCTCATTTCTGAGGTCCCATGTGAAGTAAAGCAGCATGACAGCCCATCCCAGACATAGGACTCCCTCAGCAGCACAATTCCCCTAAATGCTGGTCCCAGAAAGAGGTCAATAACCCAATGATGTCTATGTGTAGAGAACAGAGAAAAGGTTCCAACTCACCAATTCTGATGCAAAATTGACCTATTCATTAAAGCAACAACAAAATAGGAACATCTCTCTTGTTCTAGGTAGCAAAGGAGTAAGATAAGCTGCTTGGTTTAGCCCTAATTAAGCTTTTTCCGTAAAGCATCTGTAGTGCTTTGTTCATAATGAAGTCCCACTTCCTAGCGTGTAAAAGCGAGTGAGCATAAGCAGACCCGAGATTGCTTATCCTTAGAAAAGCTTGCTCACAAAGTTCATTTTGCTGGTATCTAGGAACTGGGATTTGCGGAGTGGCCCCCCCTGCCACCAACTTAACATGTAGAAGTGCCTCAGTGCACCTAAAAGATTTATGCAACAATATGGCATAAAGTAAATTCCTGTTTTTCTTTTCAGATGCTATAATTTTGTTACATGTTTGGCAGATCGTGTCTATGTGATCAGTCCCCCAAAACACCCTGGGGACTGAGTCTCTGCTGAGTTCCCCTGGTAAGCAATAGTTCACACATGTACTTGCAACTTCTTACTTGGAGAATGAAGCTCATCCCATGTGGTTACACTGAGACACAACATCTGGAAGCTTGCTCCTGGTTTTCTCCAGGCCAAATTTAATTCAATACTAAACAAGAATACAGGCTACTTAATGATTTTTATGAAAAAAAATTTTTTATTGGATGTCAAAATCGAATGAAATAAGTGAAAGGATGGTATATGTTCTTAGAAAGAATTCAGTGTCACCTAGATGTCACCTCTCCCAAATAATATCTCTACAAAATCTCATAAATCTCCCAAACAGATTCTTTCAGAGTCAACAAAAACTATTCCTCCAAACCTGATAGGAAGAACAAATGTCCAAAGGTGGACAAAGTCATATAAAGAACAAAGTGACAGCCTACTTAACATACATCATGGATTTTTAAGCTATTGGTATAGTATCAGCAGAGAGAAAAACAAACCAAGAGAAAGAAAAAGTCTTTCATGGGCCAGCATTTAATATGGAAAGCTGGTCATGGACACAGCAGGCATTGTAGAGCAGTGGCAAATATGAACATTTTAATACATGGAGCAGGTACAAACTGTTACCTAACTGGAAAAATGCATTATATTCCCTCTATTCCATGGACAATAGCCAATTTGTTGTAGATTTAAATGTAAAAGATAAAAGTAGGCCACTTTTAGAAGTCACAAATAACTGATTATTGACACAAGAATAGGTAACTGTAAGAAAAGAGTAAGCTGGAATCTAAAGAACAGAATAAACAAACAAACAAAACAGAAACAGGCTCATAAGATAGGGAACAACCTGATGGCTGCCAGATTGTGGGGCGAGGGCAGAGGGTGGGAGGCCGGGGTGAAAAAGGTGAAGGGATTAAGAAGTATAACTTGGCAGTCAAAACAGTCACAGTCATGGGAATGTGAATTACAGCACAGGGAATACAGTCAATAATATCGTAGTAACTATGTATAGTTCCCGGTGGATAGTAGACTAATCGGGGGACCACTTCGTAAAATACATAAATGTCTAAACATTATGCTATACACCTGAAAGTAATATAAGTAATATTGAATGTCAACTCTAATTGAAAAAAAAAAAAATGGTCTAACAAAAAGTAAGCGATCAAGCTTGAGACTGATAAATTTAAATATATTAAATTTAAGGTAGTTTAAAAATAAAAAGGGGGAAGAAAAATATATGCAATACATGCAATATAAAAGGGTGAGTCTTCAGAGTAAAAATGAACAGACACATAATTAAAAAGGGGAAAAGCAAAACATTTAACAGAAGATGAAAGATCATATATGAAAAGTTGAGAGAATAATAAATGGTCCAGTAGATTCCATTTCACAGTGATTAGAACAAAAATGAATCAATTTAATAATTCTCTCCCCCCAAAAAATAATCCCAAGTGTTGAAGACAACAGTGAAAAAATCAATAAATCAGGCACAAATGGAGTGGTCAAGTGATACACTCCATTGCTATTACCTATAAATGTGAACTTGATCACTAGCTATATCCCAGAAAGATTTTATTGTATGTTTGCACTTGGAAACTCATACAAGAGTGGCATGGACTAAGATTAAAAAGATCTGGTGTAAAAAGATATTGAATTAAAATGTACATCTGAAACTTATGTGATGTTATTAACCAATGTTACCTCAATTATTTTTTTTAAGTGCATAAAGTGCAGAATGAATACATAACTGATCTTTAAAAAATCTGAAAGATTTATCCATAGAACGATATAAAAATAATGCAAAGAGAATAGGGAGAAAAAAAGTGGCATAGATGATAGAGGCTCTGTTCATCCTCTTGTGGCCAAATCAAAGTTGTGACATAAACAAGGAGCAAACAGCAAGGAAAATCGCCTGAGATCTAGATGAACAAGCTCTACAAGTAGGGAGAGAAATAAGAAATTACCCTGCAACGGGCGGAGGTAAGACAGGGCGAGGATGCGAAGCTGCTCTGTTCGGAGTGGCTGAGTGGGGGCGGGGTTACAGCAGGCGCAGTGTGC